AATTGCTTGAGCCCAGGAGTTAGAGGTTGCTATGAGCTGTGATGCCACGGCACTCTACCCAGGGGGACAGCTTGAGGCTCTGTCTCAAAAAAAAGAGAGAGACAGAGTCTCACTTTATTGTCCTTGGTAGAGTGCCATGGTGTCACAGCTCACAGCAACCTCCAACTCTTGGGCTTAGGCGATTCTCTTGCCTCAGCCTCCGAAGAGGCTGGGACTACAGGCACCTGCCACAAAGCCAGGCTATATTTTTGTTGCAGTTTGGCCTGGGCCAGGTTTGAACCCACTACCCTTGGTATATGAGGCCAGCGCCCTACTCATTTAGCCACAGGCACCACCCCCTTGGTGTAGGTTTTAATCCATTGCCGCCATCAGGTGATGGTGTCATCTTTTTTCATGGCCCAGATGATAAAAGTATATTGTTTCTTTTTCTTTGCTTTTCTTTTATTTCCCTTGATAAGGCCTTTTGAGATGCAGAAGTTTGGGGAGGGGATGGGGTTTTGATATTTTCATTTGTTTTATTTATTTATTTTTGAGATCGAGTCTCACTCTGTTGCCCAGGCTAGAGTGCCATGGCATCAGCCTAACTTAGCAACCTGAAACTCCTGGGTTCAAGCAATCCTCCTGCCTCAGCTTCCTGAGTAGCTGGGATTACAGGAGCCCACCACAAGGCCCAGCTATTTTTTTTTTTTTTTAAAGTGGAGATGGGGATCTTGCTCTTGCTCAGGCTGATCTTGAACTCTTGAGCTCAGGGGTTCCTCTGCCTTGGCCTCCCAGAGTGCTAGGATTATAGGGGTGAGCTACTGAGCCTGGCTGTTGTAAGTTTTTAAAAATAAATAATGTTGTTTTGACTCATGAGTTTCTGTCATTGTTTTTGTTGGCTAGGTGACAGCTGTTGTAATCCCTTAAGCATGGGTGCTATCAAAAAAATAGTTGAGGAGAAAATTCCTGGAATTTACGTCTTATCTTTAGAGATTGGGAAGACCCTGGTCGAGGTAAGGCCTTTCACAGTTTTGTTCCTTTGAAACTTTGCTGAATGTACTATTAGTAGAATGTCTATTAAAACACTCTACCTTGTGTTTTTAGCAGCAAATTACACAATGACATCTTCCCCGCTTGCATGGCTTATGGGAGGATACCAACCTCAATGAGTTCACCTCTTACAGATGATGTCATTGTTGTTTACAGTCATATCCTTTCTTTTCTCGGTGGCTCCTTTTTTAGGATATAGAGAACAGCTTCTTCTTGAATGTCAATTCCCAAGTAACAACAGTGTGTCAGATTCTTGCTAAGGATCCGAAATTGCAGCACGGCTACAATGCGATGGGATTCTCCCAGGGAGGCCAATTTCTGTAAGTCCCTTTTTGTTATATCTTCCCATTTACATGGAATTGATGTTTTTCTCTCTCTCTTTTTTGAGACACAGCCTTAAGCTGTCGCCCTGGGTAGAGTGCTGTGACATCATAGCTCACAGCAACCTCCAACTCCTGGGCTCAAGTGATTCTCTTGCTTCAGCCTCCCAAGTAGCTGGGACTACAGGTGCCCACCACAATGCTGGGC